CCCCAAAACCCCAAAACCCCAAAACCCCAAAACCCCTGTTAGCAATAAAATAATTGAAAAATAATATTTATAACCAACACCGCACAAAATGGATCGAGTAAAAGAAAGAGAGCATAGAGAGCACAGAGACAGGAGGTAAGCCATCGAAAATTCCATGAAGGCCTGACATTTGGCACTTTGGGTTATCTTCTCAGGTTCAGAGCTAATTGAAACATCTCAATGCCATTCATTCATTTCATTCCGGATTTGGGTTTATCCGCAGCAAATTTTACTAAAAAAATCAATAAACTCACTGACTGCTTTATCAGAATCAGGAAAGATTCCTCTGCCAAAGATTGGGATTTGAGAAGGTAGGCCTTACCAACTAAAATTCTAAAACTATCGTAGGAGGAGAGACTCCGACAAGCATCACAGAGACCATAAGTCCTCGAGAAGACATCACTCAAAAGAACACAAGAGGGATCGACACAGAAGAAGGAGTCGGGATTATTCAAGGTAAGCGAATGAACTTCCTCAAAATCTGGGTTAATATTCTTATCAAAATTATAGGTAAACCTCATGATCACCTAGATAGAGAGAAGAAGGATGACAGAAGGCCAAAAATACGTAAATTCAGAGGTAAATTAAACCCTAATCTCTAGATATTTACAGTGGCTCAAGGTAGACACCAAACATTGCCCTTGACCTAATCACTGGTCTTTTTGCATGCTAGCCAGTTGGGTCCAAATTCCAACCAATTCTTTAGCAAAATGAAGTTATCATATTGATTTAATAAGACCTGACCATTCCTGTCACATAGACAAATCAAAATTGTCTTGACTAACTTTGTATAGCAGCGATAGTAACGAAAGTGATTACAGAAAACATAGAGATGACCCAAAAAGGAGTCCCAGGAGGAGCCCAAAACATTATAGAGATGAGCCTTATTACCCCTATAGCCCACATAGCCCTTCCAGAGAAGTGAAAAAGGAAGAGAAACTAAAATTCGAGAGAGTTGCTAAAGAGAAGGTAACCTATTTCCCAACAATCTGATCCAAGCACAAAAATATTACAATTTTAAGCTTGAATCGATCTCGGTAGCAATAAAGATTCCTAGTTTTATAATCTATTTTAGAAGGTCAGCGGCACTGAAAAGAAAGCAAAAAGGTATACTCTTAACAAAGGACTCTTAGCTAATATTATTACTAAGAATAAGGGACAGACTGATTGAAGATTTGGAGTCAATAAGACAGGATCAAAGCCAAAATCAAAAGAGACAGCTCCAATTGTGTCTGACCACTCCGTCAATGGCACTAAGCAAGGTAATGAGATTTTGGACAAAGATGCATCATAAGCCCCCTTCTGCTGCCTATCAACTCAAAATTCAGGTGGGCTTCTTAAGAAGAAATATTAAATCTCAATATTTGGCTAAGTGTTAGGGGTTTTGGGGTTTTGGGGTTTTGGGGTTTTGGGG